AAAAAGAAAAAAATTATTCATAAGAAAGAGAAATGAACACCAGGATTTAATGCAGGAGATGATAGGCAAGTTCTACTGTTTTATGCAAATACACTTGGGATCATGATCAGAGCTGCCCTTATCTATAAAGCTGCTAACCCCCCGGGGCCTTGAAGGGAAAAGATAAACATCAGTTGCCAGTCTTTTGGCTCTACAAGACGGCCTGAGCCATGAGAATTCTTGTTCTGGATTGTTTCCACCAGTGCTTTATCCCTTAAATCAGGAAGCACTCTGCAAGTAACAGACTGCCTTTTAAAGTTCCTTCATGTTGGACGATGCCCCTGGCCAACCAGAACCCCATGAGCTCAACTCAGCAAGTGTTCAAAGGGTTTGCTTGCCTCCAAATACAAAGTTTCTAATCAGGGGGTCATAAGGACCTTTACAGCTCACTACACTATGGAAAGGATTATCAATGCTATGAAAGTTTAGAGCCCCAATACAGAGAACATGATACAAGTCTGCAAGGACTACACCATTGAAGACTTCATCATTGCTATAAACAAAAAAGGCTCTGAAAGCCATCAAGCTCAAAACAATATATATTTCCCCTCCCCCTGAGATGGAGTCTTGCTCTGTGGCCCAGGCTGGAGTGCAGTGGCAGGATCTCGGCTCACTGTAACCTCTGCCTCCTGGGTTCAAGCAGTTCTGCCTCAGCCTCCCATGTAGCTGGAATTATAGGCACACACCACCACGCCCAGCTAACTTTTGTGTTTTTAGTAGAGATGGGGGTTTCACCATGTTGGCCAAGCTGGTCTCGAATTCCTGACCTTGTGATCCACCTGCCTCAGCCTTCCAAAGTGCTGGAAATACAAGCGTGAGCCATCGCACCCAGCCCAAAACATGTATTTCTTTGGGAGAAAACTGGGTCCAGATGTTGTCCAAGACTTTACATGATTTACAGCCAATCAAAGAAATCATGAAAGAGACTGTGGATATGGCACACACAAAAAGGCGGGGGTGGAGGATTCAAGATGTGGATCTTGGAGAAATTCAAGAGCTAACGGACACCACACTGGTGAAATTACTAGAAGACTACCTAACAAATGACTGCTTTTGAAGCAGTAGAAGAAGAGAAAGAAGATATGGACATGCCAGAAAACAAACTGATATTAGCCAATCTGGGAGAAGAGTTTCAGTTCTTCAAGATAATAACTTCAGTGCCCTTCTATAATCTGGGCACTGAAACTAAGGCAAACAGTGGAAGGACTGGTGCCACATAGAAATATTTTTACAGAAATGAAATAGCAAAAATTGCAGACACAAATTATGATGTATTTCCTTAAAGTTTCACTGAGTATGCCCCCAACTCCTCCCTCTCCTTCCCTGTTCTCCATCTCTTCCACATCTTCCGCCCCTGAGACAGCAAGACCAGCCTCTCTTCCTCTTCCTGCTCAGTCTACTCAATGTGAAGATGATCACAATGAAGACATCTGATGATCCATTTCCATTTCATGAACAGCAAAGATATCTTATGTTCCTTATGATTTTCCTTCCTTCCTTCTTTTTTTTTTTTTTTTGAAGACATAAGATCTCTCACACCAGCCTGGTGTGCAGCACAATCACAGCCCACTGCAGCCTCAATATCCTTGGCTCATGCAAAGCAGTCCTCTAGCCTCTGCCTCCCAGGTTGCTAGCACTACAGACATGCAGTACCATGCCTAACTTTTTTGTTTTGGGGTGGTTTTTTTTTTTTTTTTTTTTTTTTTGTAGAGACAAGGTCTCATTATGTTGACCAGGCTGGTCTCAGAGTTCTGGCCTCCAATGGATCCTTCCACCTTGACCTCTCAAAGTCCTGGGATTACAGGTGTGAGTCACCATGCTTGGCCATGATTTTCTTGATATTTTCTTTGCTCTAGCATACTTTAAGATTACGGTATATGATACATATAACATGCAAAATGTTTTACTAGACTGTTACCAGTATGGCTTCAGGTTAAAAGTAGGCTATTAGTGGTTAAGTTTTGGGGGAGTCTAATCCTAAAGTTATACCTTCGTTTTTGATGGTGTGTTGGCACCCTTAACGCCCACATTTTTCAAGCGTCAACTCTACACTGCAGGATAACGTTTCCTAAATCCACTAACTTCAGTCCTCCTCAGGGGTTTCCCAATGGAATCCCTGCATGCAAAT